GAGCCCGGGGCCCCGTGCAGGACGCCTCCAGGGGGCTTAAGGAGGGCTCCGTCACCGCACGCCCACCCCAGGACCCGACCCGGCCCCAGCCAACGCCTGGCGTCCACGTCCACGCAGCCCAACGTGGGTGCGAGACACAGCCGCCACCTGTGGCCACAGGCCAGACATCACCAATGGAGCCACCAAGTGCCAAGACACATGTGATGACTGGCCAGACATCACCAATGGAGCCACTGAGTGCCAAGACACATGCACATGCCATGACTGGCCAGACATCACCAATGGAGCCACCAAGTGCCAAGACACATGCGATGACTGGCCAGACATCACCAATGGAGCCACTGAGTGAGATGACACAGATGATGACAGGCCAGACAGCACCAATGGAGCCACCAAGTGCCATGACACATGCCATGACTGGCCAGACATCACTAATGGAGCCACCAAGTGCCATGACACATGCCATGACTGGCCAGACATCACCAATGGAGCCACCGCGTGTGATGACACAGACGATGACAGGCCAGACAGCACCAATGGATGCAACAACAGGCCAGACATCACCAGTGGAGCCACCAAGTGCCACGACACATGCGATGACAGGTCAGACATCACCAATGGACACCGGCACCAGCAGCAGCAGCAATGCTGTGGCCAAAGGGGATGTTCAGGCCACCAGAAAGCTCTTTGAGACGCGGCCGCTGGACCGGCTGGGGTCGCGCCCCTCCCTGCAGGACCCCAGCCCCCTGGAGCTGCGGGCGGAGCTTCAGGAGCTGCGGGGTGACGTGAAGACCACGGTGGCGCTGTTTCAGACGCAGCCGCTGTGCGCGCTCCGGGACGCCGGGGGCGCCATGCACGAGGTGCGGGCGGCCTGCCGCGAGGAGATCCGCAGCCACACCGTCAGGGCCGCCCGCTGGCTGTTCGAGACCAGGCCCCTGGATGCCTTCCATGAAGACCCGGGCCAGGTGCGGGTGATCCGGGGCATCTCCCTGGAGGAGGGGGCCGGGCCCGATGTCAGCGCCATGCAGTGGGTGTTCGAGACGCAGCCCCTGGACGCCATCCGGGAGGTCGTGGTGGACGAGCGGCATTTCCAGGCGTCTCCAGATCTCATCCTCGACGGGCCCGGGGTTCGACGGCAGCGCCAGCTGTTCGAGACCCGGCCCCTGGATACACTGAGAGGAGAAGAAAATGAAGGGGAGGAATCAGAGGTGGAGGCACACTCCCCACCCAGGGAAGCCGTCCCCCCCGGCCACGTCCGATCGACCCTGTGGCTATTCGAGACCACACCCCTGGATGGTTTCACACCCCAGGTTCAAATGGGTGAGCTCCAGAAAGTGGGGGGCCAAGGAGGGGAGGGGTCCCCAGCTCCAGATGCCCCCCAGGAAGACACGTTGAAAGGGGACGTGAAAGCCTTTCAGCATCTCTTCGAGACTCTTCCCCTGGACAAGATTGGTGGCCAGGATGAGTTTTCTTCCATCCCAGGGAATATTACTAGGGCAGGAACAGGAGAGACCGCTTCAAGGTCATCCCAGGATCCCAGCAACCCCGTGTACGCCATGCAGGATGGCAGAGGCCGGCTGTACGCCCTGACCTCAGTCAGCAGAGAGCAAGTGCTTGGGGGCGACGGCCGGGGTTACAGGTGGATGTTTGAGACTCGGCCGTTGGGACCAGCTAGGGGGTAGTCCTGATAAGGTGGATGTTGTTCGAGGCATCACAAGGCAGGTGAGGAGTGGCGATGTGGCCACTGCCCAGTGGCTCTTTGAGACCCAGCCCCTAGCCACGATCCACGCACAGGCCCAGCGGGAAGAGAGAGAGGGCGCCCCGCCGGACACCTTGCCAACCATCCGGTGGTTCTTCGAGACGCATCCCGTGGGTGCATCGTCGGCCACGCAGGGATCAGAGACCTCTTGCACGTGGCTGTTCCAACCTGGAACTCAGGACCCGGTGGACAGCGGCAGGGAGCGGCACCTGCAAGCCGACCTGGTGGAAGGTGGGCACGGACAGACAGACAGACACGTGTTCGACACGGAGCCCCTGCAGGCCTCCTGCCGGCCAGGGCTGGTCAGGAGCTGGAGCCGGGTTCATATCCCTTCTGGGCAGGTGTGTCGCCACCAAGAGATCTGCCAGTCTCCAGAGAAGGAGGAAGAGGAGGCAGAAAGTTCTAGAACCCACCCGGATCCCGGGCTCACCCCACCCGCGTGCAAATTCACCTGGCTCTTTGAACAGGGTGAGGTCACTTCCTCTGGACAGAACCTTCCGGAAGGCCCCGAGGGGGAGACCCGGGGAGCCAAGGAGACGCTGGAGGTTCTGGGCAGCGGTGGGGTCCTGGTGGAGGCCCCCGATCTCCAAGGAGCCCTACAGAACCTGCGGGAGGCTGTGGCGGAGGCCAAGGACCTGCGTGAGCACGCGCTGGACAGACACCCCCTGCAACGCACTCCTGCAGTTCCTGCCACGCACACGCACAACGGGCTTCCCCATGCCCCAGCCACCACCCTTGGGGTCCCCTCGGGTGAACACCTCAGGCCCGGGGCAGGAGGGGACCCCGAGATCCCAGAGGTCAGTGGGGGACCGGATTTACCACCCAGGGGCGCTGTTCAGGACGGCGTCTACACTGCTCACCCCGTGAGGACTGAGGGCCCCTGCGGGGTGGGCCCGTCTCCCCCCCGAGCCCCAGATGGCGGGGCCCCACCTGCAGCCCTGTGATCAGGCCTCGGTACCCCCGCTTTCTGCTCACCCAGCTGCCACGACCAGGCCCCGGCCTGCTCTCCCAGGCGGCCATGGTGGAGATGCAATCCGGAGGAATGCAGTCGGCCCGCACAACCCCCTTCTTCAAAACCCCAGCGAGCCTCCTGCTGGCCGGAGCCACCCTGGAGGGGTACAGATGGACACCCCCAAGGCAGACGCTGCCCGGCCACCCGGGAAGAAGCCACCGGTACCCCCCAAACCTGCACACCTAGCCAACATACCCCCACCTTCCAGCTGGCCACATTCTCAGTCCCCCGCCCAGACCACAGCCCCCCTGGACGGAGGTGGCCGTGAGTTCTAGGATGACATTGGGGGAACATGGCCAGGCCGACAACGTGAACCCCAGTGAGTTCCAGAATCTCCTGGAAGATTCCAGAACCTTCTAGAAGCAAGACCCAGCATCTCAGGAATACCCCAACCTGCACATTCTCCAATGAGGTCCCCCAACCCCCTCCCCCGCCACCCCTCAGTAGGGAAGTGAATGGATCTCCAGGTGAGCAGCGATTACCTGGCTCCCTAGACCTGGAAAGCAGGCCACTTGGCCATCGGTCCAGAAAGTTCTGAGCCTCCACGTCTAGTTTCTACACTCTTCAGGAGGCTGGAATTGTAGAGGATCGTGGTTCAAAGCCAGCTGCAGGCAGACAAATCCCCTGATCTCCAACGAAACCAGAATTGGAGTCGTGTGGGTCAAGCGGTCGAGCGCCAGCCTCAAGAATAGCAAAAGCGCTCAAAGACAGAGCCCAGGCCCTGAGTTCAAGTCCCAGCATGGGCACACACACACATAAAAAAGACAGCTGGGCACGGTGGCCCAGCCACGCCGGAGGCTGAGGATGGAGGTTCAAAGCCAGGCCCCGGGCAGGAAACTCCTGATCCCCCTACCAAAACAAAAGCCAGGGGCCGAGGCGTGGCTCAAGTGGTAAAGCACCAGCCTTGAGTGAAGTAAGCGTAAAGGACAGAGGAGCCCACACTCTCGAGTGCAAACCTCAATACCAGCACACACACGTGCACACTCGTGTACACACACACGTGCACACTCGTGCACACATTCACACACGTGCACCACGCGTGTGCACACACACACACACCAGGGGCGGGCAGGGGCCCATTGAGCCTGGACGCTTGGGTGAGGCCTGAGGCGGAGCAGAGCAAGCCACACCCCCTCCCTCGAGAGGCCACGCCCCTCCAGGGGTCCCGGGAGGCGTGGTTTCGCTCCAGCCGCCGTCGCCAGGGCGACGGGGACGGGGCGCGCGCACGGTTGCTAGGAGACACCAGGCAGGCGCTGGCGCAGGCTCGTTGCCATGACCACGGAGACGCCCGACGCCGGGCCGCGGCGCATGCGCCGTGCTGCCTGGGCCTTGGTTCTTTTTTTTTTTTTTTTCTTCCCTTCTAGAATCCCAAACGGATGCGGATCCGGGTCTGCACCGAGGGGGCTGGACCCTACCCGGGTCGGGGTGCACTTCACGTTCTGGGTCCATCCAGACCCCAGTCATCCATCACCCCCGCCCCACGCCACCACCCCGAGGCCTGACCTCTGGTCAGCAGCCCCCCCCCTTCAGAGAGAACTTTCCAGATCGTCATCATCTCTCCCCCCCCCCCCCCCCCCCCCCGCGCCTGACACGGAAACTCCCAGGCCTGCCCGACTGGTGTGACTCACCCCCCCTCCCCTAACTCCCTCCCGTCAGCCCCTGACTCACGCTTCTCTGGGGCCCAGTTTCAGAACTCAACAAGCTGATGGATTTCCTGGCCCCAGGGCCTTTGCATCTCCCGTATCTCCCAGTTTTAAAGGAATTAGGAGCTAAAGCGGAAGGAAGGGTACCCGTGGCTCCTGCCTGTAAGGTCATTTCTTTCTTTTATTCTTTAATTTGTGCCAGTCCTGGGGCAGGAACTCAGAGCTGGGGCGCCGTCCTTGGGGTCGTGTGTGGCATCTGGCTGGTTAACTGGAGATCGTCTCACAGAGTTTTCTTCCTGGGCTGGCTTTGAACTCTCAGCCTCAGCCTCCGAAGTACCTAGTGCTCTCCTCCCCGAGCCCACGCCTCCAACCCCCAAACCACGCCCCCAAAGTGACCCGCCCTCCTCTCCTCCAATCCGAGCACCGTCTCTCCGGCGTCACCCGCCTCCCCAAGGCCACGCCCCCACGAGCGTTCCCCCCCCTCGCCAGCGTCGGTGGCACGCAGCACTCACGAAGCCCCCGCCTCCACGACGAGCGTCCACGTCCCTCCAAGCCACGCCCCACGCCCCACCAGAGCTCCGCCCCC